TTGAGAATTGTAATGGTGGAGATAGATTTGGTTTACACTAAAGAATATGGTTGGCTTTAGTGCACGGGCATCAAGCTGACATCCGGGTTTCTCACTAAAGTGAGCATTTTTGAGAACTGAAATTTAATTAAAAGTGAATTTCAAAGTTACGGCAAAAACAGCCAATTCTCCAAGTCAACTATGCTGCCAGTTACTTCTGGCTACTTTGGCCTTCAATTGAAATTCACTTAGATTTTTCTTTCAATTCCCGACAAATTTCACTTCAGTGATAGATAGGATTTGTCTTTCCGATAAAAGAAGTTCAAACAGTAAAATGTAATGAGTTGGCACTCCAGGTGTGAGTCCAAAAATAATGCTGTAGGTAGTGATGGATTTCTCTGAGTTGAAGTTCACATATTATCTTTCAATCTAAAAAGCTAGCAATTGAACTACAACTCCCAGAAACCTTTATAGTGTCCCCCTAATGCACTTCAAATGGGATAAGCTGAGCAGAGCTGTAGGACGTTGAGTGAGATGATTGGCTGAGTAACTTCCTGGTTTAGTGAGCTCTTGGGGATCTGCAGCAAATTTGAAAGGTAAGTATATGTTTAGTGGTTTTATTTTAAATTTATTGTTTTAACATATATATTTTGATGTTTTAGAAATATTAAGGAATATGTCAGACTGGAGTGTTCACTTAATTAAATTCCTATCAGGAAGACTGAAGCTTCCAAAAACAATGCAACATAACCTGAACCAATGTCAAGATGCTACCCAAACACAAGCAAGAGGCAACATATACTCTATTAATACAGCACATATTACTGAACATTAGAGTGTCCGGGATTAACGCAAGGAGTATAGCGTGATGGACTACCTGGTCACTACGAACTGTTGTAGGACTCTCAGCCACCACGCTAAAATTAGCTATTTTCACTGTTTCATCCCCTCCCTGCTGTGCCTCCCAGTTAGAGATTCCAAAACAACCACTATAAACTACTCATGAACCAGCGTTAGACTCTCCCAGATACAGAGAGTCTGACCGGGAGCTAGAGAGCCCAATAGAACCACTATAAACTACTCATGGACCAGCATTAGACTCTCCGAGATACAGCAAGTCTGACCGGGAGCTAGAGAGCCCAATAGAACCACTATAAACTACTCATGGACCAGCATTAGACTCTCCGAGATACAGAGAGTCTGACCGGGAGCTAGAGAGCCCAATAGAACCACTATAAACTACTCATGGACCAGCGTTAGACTCTCCCAGATACAGAGAGTCTGACCGGGAGCTAGAGAGCCCAATAGAACCACAATAAACTACTCATGAACCAGCGTTAGACTCTCCCAGATACAGAGAGTCTGACCGGGAGCTAGAGAGCCCAATAGAACCACTATAAACTACTCATGGACCAGCGTTAGACTCTCCCAGATACAGAGAGTCTGACCGGGAGCTAGAGAGCCCAATAGAACCACTATAAACTACTCATGAACCAGCGTTAGACTCTCCCAGATACAGAGAGTCTGACCGGGAGCTAGAGAGCCCAATAGAACCACTATAAACTACTCATGGACCAGCGTTAGACTCTCCCAGATACAGAGAGTCTGACCGGGAGCTAGAGAGCCCAATAGAACCACTATAAACTACTCATGGACCAGCGTTAGACTCTCCCAGATACAGCAAGTCTGAGCTAGAGAGCCCAATAGAACCACTATAAACTACTCATGGACCAGCATTAGACTCTCCGAGATACAGAGAGTCTGACCGGGAGCTAGAGAGCCCAATAGAACCACTATAAACTACTCATGGACCAGCGTTAGACTCTCCCAGATACAGAGAGTCTGACCGGGAGCTAGAGAGCCCAATAGAACCACAATAAACTACTCATGAACCAGCGTTAGACTCTCCCAGATACAGAGAGTCTGACCGGGAGCTAGAGAGCCCAATAGAACCACTATAAACTACTCATGGACCAGCATTAGACTCTCCCAGATACAGAGAGTCTGACCGGGAGCTAGAGAGCCCAATAGAACCACTATAAACTACTCATGGACCAGCGTTAGACTCTCCCAGATACAGAGAGTCTGACCGGGAGCTAGAGAGCCCAATAGAACCACTATAAACTACTCATGAACCAGCGTTAGACTCTCCCAGATACAGAGAGTCTGACCGGGAGCTAGAGAGCCCAATAGAACCACTATAAACTACTCATGGACCAGCGTTAGACTCTCCGAGATACAGAGAGTCTGACCGGGAGCTAGAGAGCCCAATAGAACCACTATAAACTACTCATGGACCAGCGTTAGACTCTCCCAGATACAGAGAGTCTGACCAGGAGCTAGAGAGCCCAATAGAACCACTATAAACTACTCATGGACCAGCATTAGACTCTCCGAGATACAGAGAGTCTGACCGGGAGCTAGAGAGCCCAATAGAACCACTATAAACTACTCATGGACCAGCATTAGACTCTCCCAGATACAGAGAGTCTGACCGGGAGCTAGAGAGCCCAATAGAACCACTATAAACTACTCATGAACCAGCGTTAGACTCTCCGAGATACAGAGAGTCTGACCGGGAGCTAGAGAGCCCAATAAAACCACTATAAACTACTCATGGACCAGCGTTAGACTCTCCCAGATACAGAGAGTCTGACCGGGAGCTAGAGAGCCCAATAGAACCACTATAAACTACTCATGGACCAGCGTTAGACTCTCCCAGATACAGAGAGTCTGACCGGGAGCTAGAGAGCCCAATAGAACCACTATAAACTACTCATGGACCAGCGTTAGACTCTCCCAGATACAGAGAGTCTGACCGGGAGCTAGAGAGCCCAATAGAACCACTATAAACTACTCATGAACCAGCGTTGGACTCTCCCAGATACAGAGAGTCTGACCAGAAGCTAGAGAGCCCAATAGAACCACTATAAACTACTCATGGACCAGCATTAGACTCTCCCAGATACAGAGAGTCTGACCGGGAGCTAGAGAGCCCAATAGAACCACTATAAACTACTCATGGACCAGCATTAGACTCTCCGAGATACAGAGAGTCTGACCGGGAGCTAGAGAGCCCAATAGAACTACTATAAACTACTCATGGACCAGCGTTAGACTCTCCCAGATACAGAGAGTCTGACCGGGAGCTAGAGAGCCCAATAGAACCACTATAAACTACTCATGAACCAGCGTTGGACTCTCCCAGATACAGAGAGTCTGACCAGAAGCTAGAGAGCCCAATAGAACCACTATAAACTACTCATGCATTAGACCAGATACAGTCTGACCGGGAGCTAGAGACTCTCCAGATACAGAGAGTCTGACCGGGAGCTAGAGAGCCCAATAGAACCACTATAAACTACTCATGGACCAGCATTAGACTCTCCCAGTACAGAGAGTCTGACACCTAGAGAGCCCAATAGAACCACTATAAACTACTCATGGACCAGCAGAGCCCAATAGAACCACTACCAAACTACTCGCGAACCAGCGTTTGACTCTCCCAGATGCAGAGAGTCTGACCGGGAGGAAGCTAGAAACCCAATAGAACCACTACCTGCAAACTACTCATGGACCAGCATTAGACTCTCCGAGATACAGAGGTCTGACCCGGGAAGACTAGAGAGCCCAATAGAACCACTATAAACTACTCTTGGACCAGCATTAGACTCTCGAGATACAGAGAGTCTGACCCGGGGGAACTAGAGAGCCCAATAGAACCACTATAAACTACTCATGGACCAGCATTAGACTCTCCGAGATACAGAGAGTCTGACCGGGAGCTAGAGAGCCCAATAGAACCACTATAAACTACTCATGGACCAGCATTAGACTCTCCCAGATACAGAGAGTCTGACCGGGAACTACACTTAATAATAATATATATGTGAGATAACATTAAGTGGTCTTGATATGCAAGAACACTTAATAAAGGATGTTTGTGTAGTGGATGCTGTGTGTATAGTTAATGCAGAGTGTATGTTAGTGTAGTGAAAGCAGAGTGTGTGTCAGTGTAGTTAATGCAGAGTGTGTGTTAGTGTAGTGAATGCAGAATGTGTGTCAGTGTAGTGAATGCATAGTAAATGTCAGCGTAGTAAATGCAGAGTGTGTGCATAGTGTAGTGAATGCAGAGAGTGTGTTAGTGTGTAATGAATGCAGTGTTTGCTAGTGTAGTGAATGCAGAGTGTGTGTTGCCCAATAACTCCAGCGTGTTACCAGCTACAAGCATGCCAGAGGCCCCTGGCACACTCATACCTAAAGGGGTGAAACCACTTGAAATAAGAATGGGTCTAGGGGCCTCCTGGCACCATTTTGATTAAGTTTTTATGGTGCCTTGAGTGTTCCTTTAATAGCAACCATGTGTACAGTGTAATGCCATACACTTTAACTGGCCAATCATAGAGTAAAGTACGCTCACGGAGATCCCTTACAGGCACATTATGGTTAGAAACAGCTTACAAACCATATGTTTTGTGTGTTTTACCAATAAGCAACACATCTACAAGTGGTTGGTATCACTGCAAGCAGACATTACTAATGGACAGCCAGAAAAAAATTGCAACAAGTTTTTAATACGGTTATTAATTAGTAGCTGCTACTAACTACCTGCCTTTAATAGTGACAGATTATAGTAACTAAACTCAAGAGGCAGCAATTAATCAGAGCACCTGTCTAGCAAAGACTTTTCATTGAGCTGTTTTGGGAAGTCTATGATTGGACAGCCCAGAAAGTCTGGGCGGGCTTAGAAGGGGAGGGCTTCCATAGGCAGTGGACAGAGAACTGTAGGTTTTGCAAACTGTTTTTAGATATATCCCCAATGAAAAAATGCATGATAAAATATATGCAATTTTTAATTTGGGGTATATATAACAGTGATTTTTAATGAATTTTGTATTCGGGCATGGGATGTCCTTTTAAGGTATCTGATGAGGTCACAGCATTGTGGTGATGTCATTGACAGTTTAGGCTATATATATCTGCTGCACAGGACCTACCTTAACAGTTATTACTGTATAACCATGGCAGAAGAATTTGCAAGAGAGAAGAGGCAGCTGTTTCCAGCTCTTTCGAGAGAAACAACACATGGCAAGGTGAATGGGGGTTATGTACTCACTAAATCCATGCACCCCCTGCTCATTTGACCTTCAAACCCAGTTCCTTTCCTTCTTATGCCCAATGTATGGCGATAAGATCCATATGGACCCCCCATATAAGTATAATAATTTTGGTGACTAATTTGATGCCTCATCATCAGAAAACATAAAATGGAATGTGAATAGTCATAGAAGAGATTACTTTACCGATATATGCATGCATAAAATCGTTATAAATGATTCTCTGTTTTAGGCATCTTCCATTAGAGCCAAGCCAACAAAGAGAAATACGTCTTCGGGGATCAAACTCCCACCATGTCCTAATAATCGGATTCCGATGCTAACCGCAAATCCCTCAGAAAAGGTATACGCTACAATTTAAATCCATAGTCTGATTCATATTAGGAAGGGAACATTTTACAGACACAGGCTGTAAACCTGAGATTTTTTTTTACATTGTCATTTTCTTGATATATATATATTTTTAGTTTATTGTGGATGTCATTCTCCAACAAAGTATAAATTATAAAAAAAAAGAAAAATCACATTAATATGTACATATTACATATGTTCTGTAATCTACATTAACTGAATTTCTATTTGTTTAGGTGGATTTCATTAGAGCACCCCCAGCAGAACAATTTGTGGATGTTCCTTCTGGAGTGAAATTTCCAGTGTGTCCTAAACAACCTGTCCAGTTCTGTACCACCAAGCTCTCGGAAAAGGTATTTAATACTAATCCAGACTAGTAAGCAGATATTTTCAAAACAATTGAAATAGGGCTACGGATTGATATGAAGGGTTGTATATTTAATGCCAAGCCATGGAATGATTAATTAAAGTAAGCATTAAAAGATTTTATAAATTAGTATCTCACATCAATCATTAGTTCTATTGTAGATTATTAACTCTTCTACCATATAACAAAATAGCTGAAGTGGATAAGCATTAGTCTACTATGTTTAACCTTTCAAACAATCCCCAATTATTTCATATATTGGTTGTTTTATGCTAATGAGTGTTCTTCAGAATAGGTTTACAGAATGAGTGCACAAATGTTTTATGTTATAATGTTTTTCCAGCTTTATAAGCCAAGTCCATCATTTGACCTTGAGGATCCATATTGTCGTTTGATGAGGACAACCTACAATAACCTGCATGACCCATACTTAAGAGAATATTACCAGAGTAAAGTACCCCGACAACGGATACGTCAGCAGGGATTTATCACCAGTGATGATAAGGTAGGATAAAAAAAAAAAAAAACAACATGCCACTACCATTTAATTTTACACTAACATATTGCATACATAAATTTAACTGAATGACATTGAATTAAAAGAAAATGTCTTGTTTAGGTTGTTTGCTCTTTAAAAGAGTACAACGAGTACAGGGAGTACCTCTCAAGCATACATAGAAAGAAAATGAAAAACGTAAGTTGGATTCAGATTTATAGTAAAGACAGTCAACATAGTAGACAAAGTGTAATTTTCAGTGGGATGATATTTAGCTACTCAAATTAAAAACAATTTTAAAAAGATGAAAAAATAATAATAATCTGTTTGTTTTTTAGAAGTTAGAGAAACAAGTTAGACAAAATTCGTCTTCTAACCAATGATGCTCCCAAGATTGTTAGAAAATGTACTTCTTAATAAAAGTTCATTACTACTTGACAATTTTGCCACATGTGATTTCCTGCAAAACAGTTCAAACATATGAAAATATGTCATCATACGAACATGTGGGTTAAAATATGAAATTTTATTTAAAGAAAAACTCTAGCACTATAACAATTTTGTCTAATTGAATTGGTTGTAGCGTCTGCAATCCACGGCACCTGTCCCATGGTTAATGTTAAATCACGAATAGTTTAACACCTAATGAGGGGCCTACTGCACATCCCTTGCTTGGAGTAGTTACACTCCACATTAGCTATACCAGTGTATAGCAGCAATAGATGTCTGTGATACTCTGAGAGCCAGCAGGTGGCGTTCCAATCACTGCCAACTATTGCTGCTTGAACTAATGTTTAAGTATGAGTCTAAACAGTAGAGGGGGGCTGGACAGCGGGCGTCCAGGGACCTTCATTCAGTGTTTAACAAATTGAAAATGATTCAGCGCCCAGGTACTCCAGTGTTACTTTAACAAAAAATATAAAAAATCATACAGATTGGCCTTTAATCAGATACAGTCCGAGGTGTTTGCTGGTACCATTATACACAAGGCAAATAAGCACAAACTTCATATTTTAACTCGTAAAATCGGGCATTCATGTCATCAGGGATTCTTCAATTGTGGATTAATAAAAATGATTTGAAAATTATATTTGCTTTGTTTCATGTGTATTCCTGCAAAGCAATTCAAAGAAAAATACAGATGTTAATTTTGATTGTGCTAACTGATTGGGAGTAATGTCTAAACACTGTACTATGAACTCTATCAATCACTAAACAGTAAAGACAAAAAGGAAATTGGGTGCACACCCAGAACATGCATTTCACAGGAATGGTGCTTCCATAGAGAGCAAAATATATACATCATACAGAAGGAACAGGGCACACATACAAATCTATTTTTTATTTTATAAGACTACTTGAAATCACGTATCTCAGCAAACAAATATGGGGATCCATGCCCACCATATGGCCATATCATATTGTGTTAAGCCCAGCACTACTTCACAGTATCCCAGTATCGGTGGGTCCTTCACTAATTCCGGTGTAGGAGACAAATCAAAGAGTGCTAGTGCTAAGTACGTTGCAGTGTATTTTAATAATCTGTTGTAAAAGTTCTTACAATAAAAATGAAGAACAGAAATTGGTAATTGTAAAATCTCATAAGTGGGGGTGACCCCTGAGGAATAATATATACAAAAGTTCTTACAACAGATTATTAAAATACACTTTTGCTTATTTAGCACTCTCACTATTTAATTTTTCTCCCATGGTAGAATTAGTGTAGGACCCAGTGATATCTAATATATCTAATCATCAACTTATCAAAAAGCATCCTATTTATCTAAATGTGTGTCCGCTTTTGGGCTATCCCATGAATATCTTTCTAAGATCTCATAATAAGTGCTAACCTAAAAGAAATGTACCTCAAATGTGCATGTAATAAAAACCAAAAACAAACAGCAACTAGAAAAGCTACAATTTCTGGGGAAATTGTGTGAAGTGTTCTTGCCTTTACCAGGAGTCTACAACTGGAGTGGGCGGAGTAACTGTTATCATTTATATAGCACATTTAATTGCAACGTTGTTGCACAGTTACATTAAACCATACATTTATAAAAACATTAGCAGGTGTTCAAAAGGCCCTGTCTATGACATCACTTGCTGCTGCAGCCTGGCACAGGTCAGAGTATTTTGGCGGTTGACATCTTCAAACGGTCGTATTTTAAAAACTATAAATCCTACAGTGAAGAGCTTTATATTGTGAGAATCACAAGACCCAGACCTACATTTTGATGCATCGTATGTCTCTGAAGTATTAAAAATGAAGGCACAGTCACAGTTTAGAAATTGCACTTCAAATTTGAGCTTTGTAGAGTGAAGTTTCAATGAATGTCAATGGACTGCGTTAGTTGCAAACAAATGATTATATTGTGAAAACTATCAGGACTATGGCTTAGCCATTGAAATGTTTAGTGGCAGCAGAGATAGCTGAACTTTTGATATAAGATTTGTGTAGGTGGGCCTGAAAATAAGGGAGTGGTGGCAGTTTAGAAATCATGTCCTGATTTTTCAGCTTTTGCCAGCTCCCACTCTAGCTTTGCCATTCATTCCTATGGGACAAATTTCGCCACAAGAACGACGATATTCCGTGAACCATTCGGCGAAACGTTCCACAAAGTAATAGCAATCCGATCAGGAACAATCTGCACGTTTTGGTAAATTTTTGTCTATATAGTGTAAAAACTGTGGGAGGAGTTAGGGTGGCAAATTTGGCTATAATAAGAATAAGAATAATATATATGTGAGATAACAATAAGTGGTCTTGCTATGCAAGAACACTTAATAATATATATGTGAGATAACATTAAGTGGTCTTGCTATGCAAGAACACTTAATTAACTGACCTTGTGACGGACCCACTTTATAATCCCATGCTGCCGCAATTAACACTGGCTCTGATATAATTATCAGTTTTAATGTGCCATAAGTGTTGATTTAGCACAAAACAGTGGCTTATGCAGGATTTCGGTGTAAAAGAATTCTAATATGCTAGAATTAATTCTAATACACTTTGATTTATTATAATAGCCACAAAGATCCAGACACAGTGTTTTATGTACCTGAGACGTGGAACGCTGTAAAAGCAGAATGAGAATCACGATTATTAAAATTGTTATGTTAGGCAGAGAAAACCTAATTTCACTTTTAATTCTATTTTTCCATTTAAGATGCAATATTCTTTTTTTTCCCTTTAGATTCCATTGCAGATCACACTGTATCTTTGGGGCATGAGAAAATCAGACACACATACTCTATATGAGAATTGTCTGCTCAGGGCAGGGGAAACGACAGAATGAATGAAAAGATCTGTATAAACCCTGCAAGGCACAACTTTGTATCAAATAGTAAAACATTAATAAAAGTGTTTTTTTTTTTATAGTAGCCTAAATGTGGCTGAACAGATATGTAAGGAGCCAATGGCAGCTTCTCTTTGAAACGTGGGTCAATTTATCCAGAGATAGAAGGGTCTTTTTGTTCTCTGTAACCCCTTAATGTTGTTTATGTCACCTCCTCCCAACTGTGGTGACATTGATGTGTGGCGATGTTAGCACTTTCTTGTACTGAAGCACACACGATAACCAGATATAGTTGAATATGGATGTCCATTCATCTTTGGAGATTGGACCTTCCTCTGGAGAAACACACCTGTACAGGTGTACACGGAATCTCTCTGTTGTCATCTCTTCATGTAGACCTGTTGGTTCCTTTCCTCTTTGTCCTACTGGTTGTTTGTAGATACATATGCACGAGTGAGCTGCTAGGATTATTCAGTTATTGCATCTAAGAATGCCATTTAGTTTGGGGGTCTGATTAGTATCTCACCTATTCCTTCATACACCATAATATAACACCATGCATCATACTATAACAACGTCTTTAATCTGTAAATGCCCATGCACCACACTATAACCTGCTCTCTGTTTTAGATATCCCACCATGCACCACACTATAACGCACTCTTTGTTATACATATCCCACCATGCACCACGCTATAACACACTCTCTGTTACATATATCCCACCATGCACCACACTATAACCCACTCTGTTATACATATCCCACCATGCACCACACTATAACCCACTCTCTCTTATATGTATACCACCATGCACCACACTATAACCCACTCTGTTATATATATATCCCACCATGCACCACACTATAACCCACTCTGTTATACATATCCCACCATGCACCACACTATAACCCACTCTGTTATACATATCCCACCATGCACCACACTATAACCCACTCTCTGTTATACATATCCCACCATGCACCACGCTATAACCCACCCTCTATTATATATATCCCACCATGCACCACACTACAACCCACTCTCTTATATATATCCCACCATGCACCACACTATAACCCACTCTCTATTATATATCTCACCATGCACCACACCATAACCCACTCTGTTATACATATCCCACCATGCACCACACTATAAACCACTCTCTGTTATATATATCCCACCATGCACCAGACTATAACCCACTTTGTTATACATATCCCACCATGCACCACACTATAACCCACTCTCTTTTATATATATTCCACCATGCACCACACTATAACCCACTCTGTTATACATATCCCACCATGCACCACACGATAACCCACTCTGTTATACATATCCCATCATGCACCACACTATAACCCACTGTCTGTTATATATATCCCACCATGCACCACACTATAACCCACTCTGTTATACATATCCCACCATGCACCACACTATAACCCACTCTCTGTTATACATATCCCACCATGCACCACGCTATAACCCACCCTCTATTATATATATCCCACCATGCACCACACTACAACCCACTCTCTTATATATATCCCACCATGCACCACACTATAACCCACTCTCTATTATATATCTCACCATGCACCACACCATAACCCACTCTGTTATACATATCCCACCATGCACCACACTATAACCCACTCTCTGTTATATATATCCCACCATGCACCACACTATAACCCAC